TTCAAAAAACAAAAACAACAGAAAAAAAAAGAAAGTTAAATAAATGATAAAAAGAACAAAAAAAAAAAAAAAAAAAAAAAAGGCTTCAATGTTCAATTGCTTCTGACAATTCTTTCCTGTGACAATTCTTTCCTGTGACAATTCTTTCCTGTGACCATTCTTTCCTGTGACAATTCTTTCCTGTGACAATTCTGCCTGTGACAATTCTTCTTGTGACAATTCCTCCTGTGACGATTCTTCCTGTGACGATTCTTCCTGTGACGGTTCTTCCTGTGACGATTCTTCCTGTGACAATTTTTCTTCTTCAACATGGTTCTTCTTCGACACGGTTCTTCTTCGACACGGTTCTTCTTCGACAATTGACGACAACATTCATTCATGAATGGGCATTCCAACTGCATCTCAGCTGGAAATCGGGGATCCCAAACATCACATCCACATGGCTGACGACCACTACATTTTCCAGCCTCAAATCCGCTTTCTAATGGATGGATCCCCTTTTTCCAGCTGGAGACCAATTCATTCGGGTTTTCACCCCACGGCATCTTTACAGCCATCAGCCAAAAAGCGCGTACTCGTACTCACCTATGCAATCTCCGTATAGGGCACAGTCAGCAAGGCGCCATCCACCAATCAGAATCCGCGCCGCGCAGGAGCTGGCGTCACCCACTCCACTTCCCGCCAAAAGAAGGTTAGACTGTTATCTCACGCCCCTCAAGATCATTGTTCATCTTACACCTCGGGCCTTTTTTCATTCTTCGAGATCACCCTTCACATCATGTTTTTACGCTCTCTGCTCCTGAGCGCTCCGCTCGCCAGCGCAATGCTGGTTGATCCGGTGACGAAATCCGTGGATGGCTTCGAGATCATCAACCCTATGCAGCTGGATGAATACAACCATGCGACTTTCGACCTCCCATGCGCCGAATGCCCATACCCGCAAACCACTGAAGGGCAGGTTGAATACACACAAGACTCTCAAACATCCTTGGTAAGGACACCTATTGAGTTCACGGGCATCGTTCATCGCTAACCTCCATAGACCGTGGACTTCCTCGTTGACAACGATCGCCTGCTGGCCAACGGCCGACAGATCTTCCCTCCGGTCCCTCCGACGCCAATCCTCGCCGTCCAACAAATCGAAGATGGCAAGCACTCTGACCCTGTGCCCGTTGGCTATGCGCTGGAAATCATGCCAGTGCCACACAACCCTCACGACGAACCAGGCTACGACCTGATCGATCTCCGTTTCACCGTTCTCGACGTGGAGGATCGCCCGGTCCCCGTTGACACTGTGGCCATCAGCTTCATTCAAGCCCCCACCGGCGAAATCTTCATTGCCCGCGCCGGAATCGAAAAGACCACCCCAGTCGACAACCACACTTCCTGGAAGGACTGCCAAGGCAAGACCAAATGCCTTCAGGAGCTTCTGATGACCCGTATCCGCGGTCTCCTAGCCTCTGCCAAGAACCGTGTTATGGGAATGTCCAAGCCCGGCCGCAAGGGCTGCCACGGCAAGCACAAAGGTGACAAATCAATTCACGCTGGCCCCCACCACGAAGGAATCGACAGCATGCCTTTCCCCCCTCCTCCATTCGAGGGCTTCGGGGAGGATCACGGCCGCCCTCATGGCTTCTCTGGCCACGGTCGTCCTCACCCACACCATCATCACGGACATCACGGTGCTTTCGCCCGCACATTCTCCCGAGTTGTGCATTTCATCGTTGTCCCTGCCATCCTTGGCGTTCTGGCTGGCCTCACTGCAAGTGCCGTTGGCATGCTCGTCGGCCAGGCTGTCGTCTTCCTCTGGCAACGCTACCGTGGCACTCAGCCCGCTGAGCACAAGGCCGCCTGGGAACAGGGCGAGGCTTGCGAGAAGCAAGGCCTCATGACTGACTCGCGTTACTCCGAGGAGGTCCTTCCTGAATACACCAATTCTGCTGATCCCTCTGAACCCAGGGCATCTATGGATAAGAACTAAGATCCGTTAACTACGAAGAGCTACGACGCAGAACCATTCGAAGATGAACCCGACAAGAACCCCGAAGAACCCCCGTGACAAGAAGAACCAACTCGAAGAAGAATTGCACTGAAGGACAAGAACTTTTGACAACCAAAAAAAAAAAAAAAAAAAAAAAAAAAAAAAAAAAAAAAAAAAAAAAAAAAAAAAAAAAAAAAAAAAAAAAAA